AAAAAAAAAAAGATCTGAGAGAGAAAAGTTAATTTATTATCATTATTATTTATTTTGAGACAGGGTCTTGCTAAGTTTCCCAGGCTGACCTCAAGTTTTTGATCCTCCTGCCTGGGCCTCCCAAGTCACTGAGATTCCAGGCATGCACCACCAATGCCTGGCTAGAGAGAGCAGAATGTTTTTACCCTCTGCTCTGCCCAGCTTCAGAGAGAGTCCAAGTTCAAGCCTCCAAGCCACAAACCCTGTAAATAGTCCCTCCTTCTGGCATTTCTGCCCCAAGGGGGCCTTGCTGATTTCACTAATGAGGGCTTCTCCTCAGCTCCTAGGATCTCCACGGTGGACCTGAGAACTTCTGAGTCTCCATTCTCCTTCCCCAGCCACACAGGTAAATACCAGTTCATGGCATCTCTGTTGGAGAGGTCCTGATGAGTGTGAACGTCTCTGACATTATTCCATCAATTAAAGATGGAAAATCCTAGTAAACCTAGTGACGATGAATCAACCAACAATCTAATGGAGCACCTGTGTTGTGCCAGGCCCTGGAGATACACTGGGGAACATAAAGCAGATCGTCAATGCTCTCTGAGAATTTATATTCTTGTGATGATAAGGATGGTGTTGAACTTGGTGTTGATGGTGATGATGTCAGTACTGATGATGATAGTTATAGGGATAATGGTGGGGGTGATGGTGGGGGTGATGGTGGTGGTGGTGGTGATCATGATGGTGAAGCTAATGATGGTGGTGTCAACGATGGTGATGGTGGTGGCCATGATGGTGACAGTGGTGGTGATGATGACAATAATGGTGGTGATGGTGACAGAGATGGCATCGATGACAATGATGATTTAACAAAAGTAACAGGAAGTACCTGAAATTTTTGAGTGTTGAACATTCACTGAGAGCCGTATTCTGCATCTAAGTGGCATCATCTAATATGCTCTCTTTTAAAACTTTCTGTCATGAGAGATGAGAGGCATGGAAAGCTTTATTACTTTTAATTTAATCTTAAGTGGACTGGTTTTTTAGAAACAAGCCTACTGCAAAACTTATGAGCAAGGTGCCTTTGAACACTAGGTTTCCTTCCATTGACGCCAACATCAAGTACACCCTCTGGATAGAGCAAGGGTGTCTTGCTCCTTTGTGCTTAGCCAGTTTCAACCCAGGGCCTCATGCATGGTAGGGCTGGCTATAGGAAAAAGATGCATTCTTCTTTGAAAAGAAGGGAAGCGTATGCTTTCTGGTCGTGTATGGGAACGTTCCTTTTCCTCCCTGGTTCAAATGTATCACCATCCTGTCAGATTCTACCCAGGACAACT